GAAAATCAGGGAGTGAGATGGAACAAAATCAAAGAAGAGTTTTAAGAAGGAGGGTGTAGCCAATTATGGGGTAATAAAGAGCCTGACTCCCTTTTTGATGTTTGACTGCTGACAGCTTTCAAGCCCTACCATTTCCCACATCTGAGCAAGCCTATAAGAAAGTCTGGGTGCCTTCTCTCTGGGCACTAGCAAAAAGTTCAAACCATGCCAGGTCCTTTCACAAGCAGAAACCCTTACCCAAGCCCCACTCCCTAACCATGTAAAACTCCAAGCCAGTCTCCTTTTCCTGACCTCTTAAGCCATTTGAAGATCAAGTGGGATCCTCTCCCTCTCCCCCCAGAAAGCCTCATTATGTGAGTAATAAACATTTTCATACTCTCTTGGTCTGTGTGTGGCACTATTAGTTTCAACATCCAAACAAAATTTTGGGTGGGAGGGTCCATCCTATCTCTCAGGGTGACCACAACATAAGCCAAATATTCTCATGTAACACGAGGTCCAACAAGAGTCACTGCATCTGGCAGCAGGGAGGCCCACAGCAGGCTCAGCTTTAGAGGGGAGATGGACGTAAAAACCTGAGTGTCAAAGTGTGAAGGACAGCGAAGACAATGGCAAGATGGAGACAGTGAAGACAGACAACTCTTTCAACAAGTTTCATTGTAAAGAGGAGGGAGAAAGACAGAGTGGGAGCTGAAGGGGGACATGGGATCAAGAAAAAACTCAAAACTCTGCTTGAGTTTTAACATGGGAGAGGCCTGAGCACAATTAAAGAGAATTAACCAGGTAAGGGGAAGAGGGTTCAGATGTAGGAAAGAAGAATGTAAATGGAGTGAGAGAAATTCCCAGGAAGGGAGATGGAATCCGGAGCAAAGGTGGAGAAATTCATTTTAGACAGGAAGAAGGGGGAGAACATATCTGGGGGCGTAGATTAGCTTGCACACCTGCAGGCAGATTTTTCCACCTTAGGGAGCGAGGTGATATGCTGGAAGTTAGGGAAGAGGGGTCAGGATTGGAGCAGAAGAGGTCTGAAATGGCCTTCAGGAACAGAGACAGTGCTTGTCCTCAACACAGAAGGACTTGGGCCTGGGGTGGGAGGGCCATGTGCCCTTCTTACTACCATCTCGAAGTGCTGCTCTCTCCTTGGTTTGCCTATTTAGAAAGATGTGCCTAGTTTCCCTTTTTTTTCCTCTCTGTCCCACACAAATTGCTATAATCTACTCTTTAAACCTCACTTCATTGTCTTGTTTTTAAACTGTTTATCCATTTATCTCATTGCAAAGTGTAGAAAATTTAGTAAATATAAATGAGCAAAAAAAAGAAAAGTTATATTTCTATAAACCTACTACCTGAGATCTTGATTAATATTATAGTCATTTCCACCTATTGAAAAAGTGATTAAAATATACTTTTAATATGGAAAATAGAGATTGTGCTATCTATAACAATTACTTTCTTGCTTTTATCCATTTAGCATTGATTGAATTATGAATGTTTTCCCATGTCTTTGATATTCTTCCAAACACCTTCAATGGTGACAGGATATTTCATGATATGGCTGTACCATCGTATGACTGCACTAGATAATGGGCATTTTTTTTTTGTTTTATTAATCTTTTTGCCCCCCAACATCCACTTATACCCTCTTTCTCAATTTTCCTCTGGGGATCCACGAGTTTGGGTGATGCTGACTCCACCCAAGACTTCAAGGTCAGAGTCCTTGACCCAGGCCTAAGCGATTGTATTCCCTGTCCTCAGGGATTAGATTCAGTGTGGGCAGCACCACTCTCAAATGCCAAGAAGGGTCAAGGAATCCAGGGGCCAGAAGAAAGTGACTACCTATAGACCATGTCCCCTTCTAAGCTACGCTTCTAGGAGAAATAACACACATGAGACAGGGGGCATAGAGGCTCTGTGCTCCTTGACGCCAGAGCCTAGCTTGTATTCATGTCTGTTTCTTCATTCCTAACCCAGGGACTGGAATAGAGCCGGCACATGATGAATGTGCCAGCTGCAGCCGTGCCATCTCTGCCACCCCCAAGTTGAATGGGACCAAGCTTAAACAGACTGGATGGAAGAGAAAAGTCAGATCCAGTACTTATCTTGCTGTTCTCTTGAAACAATGTTCAATAGACTTGAGAAGAAGCAGGAAGGGAATGTACTTGGCTGATATCTTGGTAGTTGTTTCCTTCTTTTAAAAAGAAATGAACAAAAAATGATATCTAGCACATGTATTGAACTTCACCGTTTATAAAATGCTTTTAGGACATTACCTACTTTCAGCCTCAAAACAACACTGTTGAATAGAAAGATGACTACCCCTCACATTATGGATGCAAAAATGGAGACACACGGATATTGAGCACATTGTTTAGGTTCACACAAACAACAAGTTGCAAATCTGACCATCAAGTGTCTTCTACTATTCGTAGAACTGCGTAAAATCAACAAGTGCCGACTCTGTCTGGATTGATCTCCCTGCCTGCTTTTCTCAATTTCCTCTCCTCCTGCCTGCATGTCTTAGAAAGAGTTTAGGGCCCCATTTGTACAACTCTGGGCTCTTTCCACAAGTGAGGAACAAGGCTGACATAGTTCGCTGAGTAAACACAAGCAGCAAGTGACAGTGATTTATGCCCGACTTGCAAACTTCTGATTACCAATCTGCCGCCTGCTATGTAAACAGGTGTAAACTGAGATTTAAATCAGTTTACACAGTGTGGTAAATAATTTAATCTCTCCTCAGCACCGTGCTTGCGAATGTAAATGTTTAAGCCAAAACTGATGCCGACATTGTGATGCAAGCTTCCAGTTTCTCAACCAGAGAAGCTGTGCCAACAAATGGCCCTTGTGTGCCCCTGCTCAGGGTGGGGAAGCTGGCAGCATGAGAGATGCAGGGTAAGGCAGAAAGGCCATCATTCTGGGGGGAAGGCTCATTGTTCCCAACTCAAAGCTCAGCCACGGGCCGAGGGAGTTGGAATATTCCCTCCACCCTTAGTTCTTCCTGGTCCTGCGCCTTTTCTCTCCCCCTCAATTATTCTTCCCTGCACTACTCTGCAGGCACCTGAGTTGGCTGCAGGTGTGTGAAAAGAGAAGCAAGAAGAGAAAAGAAAAAAGCAAGAAGACAGCAGCCTTCAGGCTAGTTATAATACCATTCTCACTGGAAGATGACAGGGGCACAGCCTGCCTGTCAATGCCTATGCAAATTGATCTAGGTCCTATGAAAATCAAACGTGTTTTCAGTTGTCAAAAACTGTTGACTATGCTTGTTAGAGTCTACTGAACCAGAGTGTTCCTCCTTTGAATTTTTCACCAGTATTATTCATGTTCTACTCAGCCTGGCTCTTGCCTGGGGCTGAGAGGGTGAGAAGGGGCTTCCCTCTCACCTCTCACACAGGATCCTGGGCTTTCTCTGGGGTGGAAGGCCCTGGGCGCAGCCAGATTCAATCTGCCCCATAGTAAGCTGGCTGGGTACTGACTAGAAGAAAGGCAAATGCAAGCCAGAGAGTAAGTGTCCTGATTTTCCTCTGCCTCCTTAGAGAATTCTAGCTTACAAGAAAAGTTTGCATCTCCTGGCATCAGTGGTAATGCTATGGCTGGGATTTTGTTAGTTGAAAAAAAAACCTGAGCCAGTCCTGATGGCCTAGTGGTTAAGCACACTCCACTTTGGCGGCCTGGGTTCGGTTCCTGGGTGCAGATCTACACCACTTGTCTGTCACTGGCCATGCTGTGGCGGCGGCCCATATACAAAAAGAGGAAGATTAGCAACAGATGTTAGCTCAGAGCAAATCTTCCTCAGCAAAAAAAAAAAAAAAATCTTAAAAAAAACACCTACTATGGTCAGACTTTTAATTAAGACCTGGGTAAGAAATGAATTTGATTTTCTCCTGTACTGCCATAATTTATGATAGTGAAAGAATAGCTACTATTTACTGAGTACAAGGAGTTTCTTTTTCTGAAAGCTTTTTGTTTTGTTTGTTCAGAAGAAGTTTCTTTTTCTGATACCATTTATTGAGCAACTGGCACAAGGCAGGCACTGGGCTGGATGGTCATTATCTCATTTAATCCTCAACTCAACACTGAGATGTGGGCATTATCTTCAATTTACAAAACAGGAGACAGAGACCCAAAGAGAAGTAAATTGCCTGAGGTTACTCAGCTGATAGAAGGGGAGACATTGGGATTTGAACCCCAGCATGACTCTCTTCAAAGCCTTTCCTCTTAAATTATGCTGTAAAGCTTTTGTTCTTTCTGATCTGCCATGCCTTCAGAAGAAAGGCATCTTGGTTTCTGGGTCTAGGAGTGTGTACACATAAAGTCCAGGAAGAAGAAAGCAGGAAGACTATAATAATAATATTAATAGCTAATATGTGTTGAGTTTTGTTTTAAAAATAAATTACTGAATCTTATGTTTTACACATATTAATTTATACTTAGCCCTGACATCAGCCCTGTCAGGTAGATATCATTAGGATACCAGTAGGATATTACTATCCTCGTTTTACAGATGAGAAAGACGGAGGCAGAGAAAGAAACCTTTCCAGTATCACACAGCTAATAAGAGTCTAAATTGAGGACCAGCCCTGGCCGTTTCTCCCAGAGCCACAATCACAAGCCTCTGACGGTCCTGATGAGGATGTTCCAGCACACAGTGGGATTCAGGTGACATACATAACACTTGGGAAGCTCCTAACACTTACTTTCAAGGAAAACAATAATTAGGGCTGAGATTCTTTTAAAAAGCACCTTAGTGAGACTGTGGGATCTCCTTTGGGAAGGAATATCTGTACAGAAAGCACACCTGGTCAACCTGCCTGTCATGACCGGGAAATACACCTGTGCAGGTGAAGAGAGATTCTATAGGAAAACAAACACAACAAGCTATGGCAACCCAGAAGGTCTTAATATTTTTTTCTAAAACAATGGTCTGGGATTTACAAATGAGCCAACAGGAGCAAAGTACAAGGGTAGAGAGAACTGCAAAGACCAGGAACAATCCAACTTACTTCCTGACTTTACTCTCCACACTCTCCACCATGTAGTAGCCGGGTTTGCATTCATATCTGCAGACAGAGCCCACGTCATGGTTGCCCTGGAGGCAGTGAGGCACGAGCAAGTTGGCGTTCGGGATAACAGGGGGAACATCACACTCCAACTTGCAGTAGGCTTCGGGGAGAGACCAGAGCCCATCTTCAAGACAGGTCAGCCACGGGCTCAGTCCTGACTCCAGGAAAGAGAAGCACAGGATGGTCAAAACAGAGAGTCCAGAAATAAAATAGCAGAAAGAACGAAAACTTGTCAACATATTGGCATTCTTAGAAAGTCACATTATTCTTTCCTGAGCAGTTTCTCTAAAGTCTCAGGTCAAAGGTTTATCCTATACCTTTTTACCCACAGAGCACTCAATGTGATCTCTTACACAGAATAGAGGTCAGATAACTATTTCTTGACCTGAATGAAAGAAAGGCTGCCAACTAAATCATGACCTCACTTTCTAACTACAAATAATAAAAATAGAGCAGTGACAGTATCATGGAAAGCATTATAATAATAATAGATGACACTTTTATAGTGCTTATTATATGCCAGGCACTGTCCTAAGCATTTTACATGTATTAACTTGCATAAACTTCAAACCTCAAACAACCCTATGAAATAGATACCATTATTATCCCCTATTTTGCAGACGAGAAAATTGGGTTTAGGTATTGCCCAAGCTAGTAAGGGGCAGAGGCAGGTTTGAACCCAGGTAGTTTGCATGCAAAGTTCTGCTCTTGAACACCACACCATATGCTTCAGTATAATTCATGGTTTCTCCAGGTGCAATGCACGGACTTTCCACAGCAGTATCACCAGCCCACCTCAGATCTACTACATCAGAACCTGTCAGCGTGAGGCTCAGGAAGCTGCATTTGTAACAGGCCTCCGGGGTCACTGCTATGCATACCAAGTCTAAGAGGTACAGAGGAAGGTGTGGAGTCAGAGCAGGTTCCACTCCATCGTCATCTCTTCCTAGCAGTACAGTCAGGGACAACTCATATAACTGTGTTCTCATCTGTACAATAGAACTAAAAGCACCTAACTCATAGGATGGTTGCAAACACTAAATCAAAAAATGTGCATGATAAAGTGTATCTTGATTATTAATATTATCAGGAAACTGTTAGTTGGCTTGACTCTGGTGGACATACAATCAAATAAAAACAGAGGAAAGTCTAAATTTCTTTCATTAATGAGATCTTGAGCCAGGGCACCTTTCCAGGTTGTCGGGACAAAGAATAGCATTGCCCTGTGGGACTCTGCTGGTGTTACTGTCTTACCAGAACATAGTGGTACAGCAGGGCAAATGGGAAGGGTATTGGGGTGAAGATCCCCAAAGCACCCCCAAAGAGGGAGGGAGTGAAGAGAACTTGCATGCAGGTCCTGGTTGGCCAGACAATACCTTGAAGCTTGGCTGGTGGGACACAGGAGATTGAGCAGCGTTTCAGAAAGTCCGTTCCCTCTGAGCAGGAGAAGGTTGCGTAGTTCACTAAAGATGAGTCGGGGATGCCACAGTCAAGGCGCATGCAGCTCACAACCTGGTCCCAGTGCCCAGAGGAACACGTGAGCAGAATTTCCTTCTAGAAACAGAGAATTTTCCTCTGTCAAGGTCTCATAAAAAGACTTATCAAAATAGTTCCCAGGCTTTGGAAGCGTCCTGGTGATTACTTATGCAAAACAGGTAAAATTATTTTGCATTTCTCCCTCTTTTTGCCTTATTGTCTTACTATCCAGACTCACAATACCCAGGTGTGATGCTGATGACAGCCCCTGTTAATCTAAGAGAATCATTAAATGGAGATGCTCCTCCAGGCCAATTCTTGGCTGCCCTCCAAGCGCTCCTCCAGATCCGCTCTCTACCCTTCTCCACTCTGCTCTGTGCCCAGGGATGCTGGCCCCTGTGGATTTCACGCCTCTGTCTTGTGCTTGGGTTCAGCACCCAGAACACACTGGCAGGAGATTGGAAAGGGAGGGAGGAAAGGGAGGGCGAGGTGCTTACTCTTCCTGCTCCCTCCCTGGGGGGTTGCTGCAGGTTGCCTTCACCTTTGGCAGCCCTCTCCACACAGCTCCTACACTCTCTTCCTGTGGATTCTGCTAACTGCTCCCTATAGTCAACTTCCCAGGCCCAGGGGTGATAAAAGAGCCCCTTCACCCCCAGATACTGTACCATCTCCTTGTAATTTCCCCATTTCCTGCCCCCACCTTATACGGAGTTCCTTTATTAAGTTCTCTCAAATCGCCCACTTTTGAGCATGTTATCTGTTTCTTGCTGGGACCCTTACTGATAAGCCAACTGATGATGCTACTGAAGATAATTACCTCCAATGAGAATGGTGCAAAGTATCTAAGAACAGCTGAGAATTAACGTGTACAAGGAGCCTTCCAAATCTAGTGGTTAAATTTGAGCGATTCCAGCCATTTCCCTGGGGCTATCATTTCATAGGGTAGCCCTAGAGTTCATCATCACAAAATATTTAAAGAGACATTTACTGAGCACTTACAAGGGCCAGGTTCTATACTAGATTTGAATAAACAAGACACCCTCAAGGAGCTAACAATCTACCAGCGGAGCAAATCACAGGTTGAAACAGTGGCTCAGAAAACATCAGATGGGGAAGAATGTAAAGGAGAAAGATAGAAAGGAAGAGAGAAAAGGGAGTAAAGAGGAAAACTGCAAGAGAGAGATTTTTATTTGTTATATCTGACCCCCTTCTATAATGATTTGAGAGACTACAATACTAGGAACACAAATGATAAAATGAAAGAAGGAGGAAATGGGGACCAAGAGGAAAGAAAATATAAATATGTGAAAAACACAGCAGTATCACATATATATGTGCTTATTTTGTGTGGGTGAGACAGCACTATGGGGGCTGGAGGAAGGACTGCCCATCCTTGGACAGGAGGAAGAGTGTTTGAGAGTGTTTGTGGGGAGGTTCACAGAGCAAGTGACACGGGAACTGGCCTTTGAAAGATGAGTGGGACTTCCCAGCAGCACAGGGGAAAAGGGAGAAGAACATGTTCAGAGTCAGGGAAATAAGATGAGCAGGGACTGAGAGACCTGGAAGCTCCTGGCATGTTTGGGAAAAAGCAGAGCCGTCACTCTAGCGGATGGGTTACCAAAGGTCAAAGAGAGAGCGGGGAGCTTCTGCGACTCAACCAGCCATCCCACCAGGTGACCACAGTGGCACCAAAGCCACAGGTAAAATGACTGGTGAAAGCACCTGTCACCCCCAACACCCTCTCCTGGCTAGCTGCTCCTCCCTGCTTCCCAGTGTTTCCCTGTTCCTGCCAGAAGGACCAAACTCAAAGCCTGACACATTTTTCTGTTTAGTTTCAGTTCTTGTGTCAACAAAAAGCAAATATCCCCACTGTCTTGTGATCACGAGCTGGGATTGTATAATTTCCTCAGTGGGGCCAGCCTCGGGTGACAGGAGCAGTCAGCTGGAGAGCTGTGTTTGCTGACTCCACCATATGGTTGGCAAAGAATGAGCTCCCACCTTCCTCCTCCCAACCCAGACTCTGCCCCTCACATATTTATCACAGCCTGGAAGTCTGGCTCAAACTGTAATGATCACTTAAAGAAGGTCTCTTAAATACTGCATATATTGCCTGGTTTTTCTCCTGGCCTCCTTAAGTATTGTCCATTTTGTCTTGAATTAGCTCCTAATTTTAATCTATTGCAAATACTGTCTTTTCTTCTCTCCCCTTCTTTACCTATCACACAAATATATTCGGTCCCTACATTTTTTTTGTTCTTTTTCATTCTTTCAATCTCTTTTCTAGTATGAGTTAAGCTGGGTTAAGAACAGGTGATAAGAGCTCTGCCTTTCTGACCAAAGCATCATAGACCAAGGAGTTGGTGCCTCAAGGTCTATTGAAACTGTTTCTCTCTACACAGAACCTAACCCATCTGAAACCAAAGACTGTGTCTTTAAATTCTGACCATCTCGAAGCAACAGAAATTCTCCCATGGATCCTCAACCTGCTAGCCAGTCAACTGTTGTACCAGTCAACCGGTACAAAAGGAAAAAACATTCGAATCTTCTAAACCACTGACATATGACTGTCAAGCAGGCTTGTACTCTCCTCACATCACACCTGTCTGCACCATTCCAAGCTCAAGCTTCACTGTCTTTTGCCTAACTCATCCTTTCTCTATCTCATATTATGGTCATGTTTTTTAATGGTTGAATTCAAGTTTAAAATTCCTCTGTAGAGTATTGAAAGCTCTCTAAAGGAAAGATGGAAAACAAAATTCTTAGTTGGGAATACATTATCATGCTCATAATAATGGCAAATTAACAGAGTTCTATGTGCCTTGTTTTGCTGGAAGCTTTTAAATTATGTCCAATCTATCATCATATTAACTCAATGACATAAATTCTTCTCTTCTAATTATTTTGCAAATGTGGAAACAAACCTAAAGAGGTTAGTTTCTTGTTTATTTGTTTGTTTTTACGTAAAATTACACACCTAATAAACAGTGGAGACAAAATTTCATTCCGAGTCTGTCTCTGGAGCCACTCTCTTAACTAATATATTCTACAACATCCAAATCACTTTGAAATCCTGGAAGGGATGCTGATTGCAACCTATCTTGTCTGAAAATTGTGGACAAGTCTAAACTGTGGCATTCTCATCTGGAAGGCAAAAGTGGGGACCATAATTTCTGACAGGAAGACAAAGACAAGAGACAAGAACAGAATAAGCATTACTATCTACTGCCCACCTGGAGAGAAACTGACACTAGTTAATGGGAACTACACATGCTCTTATATACCTTGCATTTCTATCAAGTCAGGCTTCTCCTTACTTGTTCGAGTCCTCATTTTTCCTTTTAAATGATTTAAAAACACCTGCCCTTCCCCTATCTGGCTAGGGAGAGGTACATGAGTACCTTCCCTCCCCAGGAGCTTGGTCCTGATGACCACAGGTTTCCAACTCACCTGCATGGGTCTGAGGTACTGCCCACTGCTGGCCTGAAGGGCAAACCCCCTTTGACAGGTGATAGCACACTTCATGTGACCTGGGCCACTAGACGTACAGTTCACCACATCCGCATGATCAAGCAGCAATGGCGCACAGCTGCCCTGCTCCCCACAGGGCCGATGGACACAGCTGGGGATGACAGAAACAGAAGCATCTTAGACGGACTCAGAACCAACAGGCAGTAGCCAAGACTCTGTAGCTCCCTCTGGTAAGTGCCTCTAAACCAAAGAGGACAACTTTTCTCCAAAACCTACATTAAACTCATCATCTCCTTCTATACAACCTGGAAGCATGCAACATAAAATAAACAAGAACAATATCAGCTAACAAGCAACGATTAACGGACCTATGGCTCTTCAAGGAGGACAAAATGGTAAGAGAAATGGTAGAGTGTGTGTCCCTAGAGCCTGGATGGCATCAGAAATGAACAGATCAGAGGGTAATCCTCAAAATATTTAACAACCAGTTGTTTGCTGGGCCCCAAACAATCAGAACAGACCCAGGACAAAGGTCAGGAGTGAATCCTGGGGGCCCCTGTTTGCATCGGCATTAACCTTTTAGTTGTTTGATCACAAGTTGGCCCCTGGGGGCCCCTGTATGAAGGGTCTGGGTATCTGAGATGGCAGGAAAGTCAACATTTACTGATTGGTATGGAAATATTTTTTACAACTAGAACAGCCACCGCAGAACACTCCACTGAGAATCAGCACTGGCTAATCAGGAATTGAGCCCATGAAAGGAAGAGGAAACTCACACATGCTAAATCCCTGTCACATGCCTGACATCATGCTGGGTGCTTCTAGGACATCATCTCAGCAGAGGAGGACTGCTGCCTGGATCTCTAGGGCCAACCAACCGGGAACAGGAGAGAGAGATCAACTCCCCAGAATTAAGGGAGACTCAGCCTGGACCATGACAGCAGCAAGGACGCGACAGAGCAAAAAGTGTTACCTTCTTACCAAGGCAGAACCATAGAGATTAAAAATTAGGACATTGTTTCTAGGCTGTCTGAATATGAATCCTGGCTCCATTATTTACTATCTGCGTGATTTGGTTGAGTTATTCGTTCCCCAGTGTTTCAGCTCCTTTCCCCATAAGAGGGGGACAATAATGGTACATATCCCACAGGGCTGTTATTGTTCCCAGGTTAATCCCCTCTACTGCTCCACTGCAAATGGTCCAAGTGCCACCCTTAGTGGCTTGTTTTCTGTTAGCCACTCATACTTTTTGGTTTTCCCACTTCTGCACCTTTGCTCAATTTGTTGAGATTTCTAAAAGGCCTTCCTTCTCAAGAAGCCCCTCCAGATACCTTCCTCCTTTGAACCTCCCAGGGAAATTTTAAAAATAACTCCTTTCTTTTACTCTATCTTGTATTATCATCATATAAGCAATTGCTTGTTCTTTAGTTAATTAATTTATTCATCCTTTGATCCACAGGGAAATTAGCATCTGAGTGTCTACTAAATGCTGACTCTTCCAACCAGATTACGAACTTCTTGAAGACAAATACCGACTCTTACCCACTTTTATACGCACCATATACTTTGCTGTAGTAGACAATAAAAGATAGCTGAATTAAATTTGTTCATATTATAAACAGCAAAGTAAGTCAATGGCTATCAAAATGGGAAATTTGTTCAATTTTATAGTGACAGATGGGGATGTGAAATACAAAAATATCATTATCAAACAATGATTCAACCATCTTGCCCTATTCATTCATTCATTAATAAATATTTACTGACCACTTACAGTTGGCAAGGCATTGGTCTGAGTCCTGGGGGCGTAATACATATCATGCCCTTAGGGACCGCATGTCTAGTGGGTGAGAGCAACAAGACATTCTGATGTTGTTGTCAGTGGTGCTAAGTAATTAGCCAAAACAACTACTGTGAATCTCAGTACCACTAATTTGCTCAATTTGCCCTTGAATTGTGTCAGCCATCAACGACTTTATCAGAGAGCTGGGCAACAATATAAGAAAGTAGAAAATAAAATGTCATTGAATATGCACATACTGCCTTGAAATAATTGAGAACTGATTTAAAAAGCACTAGTCCCAAAAGAATGGATTTGATCTGAATATGCTAAATTTGCTGCCCCTGATCTTGTACCCATGGGATTTAAGTCATATGTCAGTGACATTCTCATTTCTTCTATCTATGCTTATTAGGTATAGGACAGAGGAACTGGAGATGAGTGGTATAAAGAAAACGTTTTTACTCCTTTAAGCCCTGATTATTCCCTGCGATGGTGTGGCATCCCTCAGACTCACTCCATGGAGCCTGATGGAGGGAGGAATATATGAGTTGGGGAGGGGGGGTTTGTTAACTGTCAGTGCAAATTCCCCAAATCCAATGCTCATAATTGAGTATGCAATACAGGAGATAAACCTTTGTCTCTGAATCTTTATTCAACCTATCTGGATAAGGGATCTGAAACCTGACCATCCTTCATGGGATGAGATCACAACACCTCACTGGTGATGCTAAAGAACTCCAAGTTCCAAAGATGCTACATGCCCTTGATGTCCACAAAAGGTAATATTTCTTCAGTATGTTAAGCAGAGAGTACTAGAAAACAGAGAATCCTTAACAGTTCTGGTTCATGGCAGCTTATTGCCAAGAAATTAACGTGAAATAGTACGTGCTGTTTTTCAATGACTCCAACCAATTAATTTGTGTCATCACTGAGGACATATATATATGCGCTGAGATAAGGCACAAAACAAATACTCTGAATGAGCCTCCTTCCATCAAGATGGGGTTCCATTAACTACTGTTGCTATGACTACCGGTGTGAGAAGTCCATCCAGCACTGGCAGCAAAGGAGGAAGAGTGAGACAAGGGAGCATAGAAGAGGGGAAAAGTGGCACGAAATAAGACCAAGACAAAAAAAAAGAAAAAGCACCAAACCCAGACCTGTTTATGAAGTGAGAAATGGTTTTAGGGCAACTGCTGCAAATTCTTTCACTAGCTTATATTTCCATTTGCTTCCTTTTTAAAGAATCTGTTTTATGAGGATGCTGTTTGTCAGGTCATTAGCTTCTGATGGCATCTGGTACCAATTGTAGGCTTCTCACCCTTCCACCCCGACCCTAAACCCCCTTCTGAGTTTCTCTTCCACTACAAACACTGCTTTTTTGTTTATTGCAGTAACATTGGTTTATAACATTGTAAAAATTTCAGGTGTACATCATTGTACTTCTATTTCTGCATGGACCACATCATGTTCACCACCAAAATACTAATTACAACCCATCACCACACACATGCACCGAATTATCCCTTTCATCCTCCTCCCTCCCCCCTCCCCTCTGGCAACCA